GATTCCTCAGCATACAATATTAGTTCTTTCTACTGTGCATAAAACCAAATACTCTCCAAAACCTAACCAGAAACATAGCAAATCAGTTGCCTGTGGGGGCTTTATATTCAAGGTAGAGTCAAATCCAATAGATGTAAAACTAGTCCTCTGTAGTGAAGGCAGGATTTGGTTCAAAGTACAACCTGTTTTAAGTCTTCTGACATTTTACTTATATTTCAGAAAGAGTTCAGTAATAACTTGTTTTCACAGCATCTCATTTCTGCATCCTTCAGTTGTATCTAAGCACCCTTCCATAGGTGCCCAGTTAGACAATCCATGAAAACTCTTTAAGATGTATGCATTTCTGTTGCCCAAGCAGGCCAACGATGCATTAAGCATTGTTTCCATTAGCTTGCAAAGTGCCAAAAGCCTCCTGGGATGGTCTGAGCCTCTTCAGCTCAAGAACAAAACTTCCGCACCTTCTTTAAAAAAGAAAACACCTGAAAGTGCAAGAAAGCTTTCCAAAGCAATTATCATAATCCCTCCCATTACCCACAGGGAAGCAGTGGCTCAGAGGTTAAATAACTTCTCTGAGGTGGCTCAGCAACCAGCACAGCCTGGATTAGAGCCATGCTGCCTCCTGACTTCCATCTCCACGCTCAGCTCAGTGCCTTAAATAGCTCGAGTGCAAGTAATTAGCTTTGTGCAAAAACCCAACTCAGGGAATGGGAGAGCTGCAGTTTAACTTAATGATAAAAAAGTCTATGGAGAATCGCAGCAGAGAAACATTAAGTTGTAACTTGGTATTAGCACCTGAAAAACCTGCAAGAACATGTAGAGGAAAGCTGGTGCACAGTTTATTGCCACCAGCTTTGGAAGAGTGGATTATTCACACACAGCAGAGTATGCTGCAATAAAATGTTTGTAGCAGCTATCACTAGGATAACTCGTGGCATTTATTCATTTCCATTTTTACTGACATTTAGTTTGTCCTCCTTTTTGTCAACACCGATTTCACCATGTTTCTCTCTGTGGGTACCACAATTGCTATGAAAACAATGAAGGTTTTGCTAGGGAAGGATATTGGTGATACTGCACATTCCTGTCTGCACTGTCAAATCGCATCACTGTGCATTTCTACAGTTATATCTGGCACACGTGGCTTTCCCCTGTCAGAAGTGACTGCGTGTATGTTCTTTCACTACTCCACTGCCTACAGCTGTATCACGCTCTTTTACTTTTCAGCTGCCTCCAGCAGAGAACAATCCATCTAAAATAGTCATGAAAAAAAAAGGAGAATCTCTACTGCTATTTTTGGTATTCAAGATCTTTGGCTTCACCTATTTTTGGAAGAATGCCTTTGTTCAGCATGATCAAAACTCCCACCCCGTGACACTGGAGCTGCACATCCCACTGCAGCCAGAGCTGTTCACTAGTAGCCAACTTTGAACAGCAGAGCTGACGCACACAACAAATCCAGGAGAGCCAGAAAGAAAAGTACGAGAGCGAAGATCCCCGTGTCTGCAAGACCTGAGGCTGATGCTGCTCTCCCACACACTTTGGTGATCTTCACCCTGAAAATAAGACCACTGGTGCACCTTGCACAGTGAGATCCCCAGGCTAAGCACACATCTTGTCCTACATCCTTACAGCTCAGCACAACCCCAGCCTGAGTGACTCATGGTATATAAACAGAAATCAGTATGTATATCTCTTGTGCTTTAATAAGAGCTTTGCTTAGGGGATCAGAATGGTCAGAAATAGGAAGTGGCAATCTGACCTGTGAAAGAACTAAATTCATGCACTTCTGCTTTCTTACTTGATTTAGAAAAACATTCAAGCACTGTATGCTCTGGAACTTACCTCTGTACTTGCACAAGATGCATCTTCCAAAAGCAGCAGCACTCTCACTCACCCCAGGCAAAGAACTAGTAGGAAATGATACAAAATAGGTGACATTGCACGTCACGGCTAACTGCGTGACATGATGGGAGCACAGCACTTCTCACGTAACCACAGATACAGGCACTGCTCAGAAAGGGACAAACCTTAAACCCTCAGGGACAAGACTTGGCTCACATCCTACAATTTGTGTCAGGACTGCAGGGCCTCAGTTCTCAGCAATACAGCTGAGCCACACAAGAACCAGATACCATGACAGCTCTTAGTCCTGAAACACCTATGACAGCCCCATCCCTCTGCCCCAAGGAAAATTGTTAGCACTTGACCTCCAGGTGTGAGAGCTATAGGCTTCAGGAAAGTTCCATCACAGCACTCCTGGTTTTGTCTGGGTGGAACCACTGGCTGTTCCTCAGCAATGCCTGGATTTAGCTTCCACAAAAATCAATGGCAAATCAGTCAAATCATGTGGCAGAATGAGCAGCTCAGCTGCCCTCAGCTCAGCAAGAAGCAAAGCACAGCTGGCCCAAGAAGTCCTGCCTAGGTGGACAAACAGCACCGCAAGTCCAAGGGAACACCAGCTGTGGGACGTTGTACAACTAACAAATGTACAGTTAGAAGAGTGGCGTACTTAGCATAGTATTTCACAGACTCATAGTTAGAAAGATTGTCATGGTAGAAAGAGACAATCAAAAATGAAATGCTCACCTGTGTCCTAGGCTCACAGTAGAAAACTCCAAAAGGAGGGATCTCCAACCAGAAATCCTTTGCCAGTGGCAGTCCGCCCTTAAATGGGATCTAAGAGAGGTGCAGCCAGGCTCCACCCCTTCTGCTCACACAGCTGAATTGCCTTCACCTGTGCTGCCAGGGCTGACCGGGTCTCTTCCCCAGGTGATCAATCAGTAGTTCAGGCCGTGACTCAACATTTCCCATACAAATGTCCTGAGGTATTTAAGAAGGAGGGCTTCTGTTTGCTGTTTATGCATGTTCCAGAAAGCACTCACGTGTTGGTACCCAGTCATACCTATTAATAGTTTTAGTGGATGTCACACAGCAGTCTTCTAGTTTCAGGTTTTGCAAAGTAAAACAGTAAAAGAGAACTTATGAATTTGAACAGCTGCATCTCAAACACCTGATGTTCCTAATTGGAGCAACTTCAAGCAGTAACTGGATGTAAGTGCCAACCTGAGGGCAATCAGTGGAGAAACAGGAATGCAGGTGCTCTCCTCTCTGCTCCTCCTCCCTTTTCTCTCCCTCCCCAAAAGCGGTGCTGGTGTCACCCCATACCCAACACACCACAGGAGTCAGAGCCCTCCTTGCCTCAGCAGTAAACCTAAAGAACATCCCCAGCTGATGTCAAACAGCATAGTTCACCATAATGACACCAATTTCAGTACTGAACATAGGGTAAGAGGCAAGACTGATGAGTTAATGCAGAACTCATGTTTTGCTAAGAGCCAGAAGAAGTTCGCTCTTGGCTGACTGACAGCAGAAGTCTATGCTGGTGAGCAAGTTCCTTGCAAAATGTTTTATTTCCCCAACCAATAGCATGCTCACTCCATATTTTCATTTTCAGTTAGCCATCGGGATACAGAGATATCCCTAAAAGTTGAATATTCCATTTGTGAATATTCACAATGTGCTGAGGAGCAAATGGGTACCAAAGAATCCAAGTTAATTGCACGGATAATAGCATATGTGACACATGCACACTGACCGGTTAAGTCTCACTTTTTTAACTCTCACTTAAGGTAAGGTTAAAAAACACCAAAATGAGTAATGCCACTCTGAGCTTCTGCACACAGGTGAAGCAGTACCACACACACCGGCCTGAAATCTTCTGATGAAAATCTCACCTGGAAAGCGCTTGAAGCAGAACAAAAAAAGTTCTGCTTCAGCGTTCTCAAAATAAGTAATACTGTCCTTTCTTCAACTCAAACCATCTTTCGCTCAGTTTACCTCAAATTATAATGTTTGGTGGACAAAACGCTTAATTCTACAACAAATACTTTCTCTTCACTTCCAAGGGGCTGCAGCAGCCAGACCACAGCTCCCAGCACACAGCTCCCATGGCTTCAGCCAGCACCCACCCTGTGGGCTCCCAGCAGTGCCGGGTGAGCACTGTGCCAGCAGCCACCATGCAATGCCAACGGTACCGCCACAGCTGGAAGAAGCCAGCAATGAATAAGGGCCATTTTGTGACGCTTCGATTTTGAGAAGGGCATCTCCGGCAGCACCGCATGCAGCGAGGGGCCCACACGCACGGCAGCAGAGATTCTTGCAGCCACCGACGGCAGGGGGACCGAGGGCTCAGCTGGCAGCTCCCGCGCTCAGCAGCGGTATTTGCCGTGTCACAGCCGTCAGGGCAGCGGTACTTACAGACAGGACCAACCCTACCGAAGACGCCAACTCTCCGCTCTCATTCGGCCAACGCAGAAGCGTATTTTAAAGACCCGGAATTAACAGCCGGGCCCGCAGAAGGGCGGCCTCACCCCACGGCGGTGGGAGCGCTATCCGTACCGGCAGCCCCTCGGCTCGGTGCCGGCTGTCGGCGGGAGCCATTGTTTCCTCGCACTAACGCAGGCCGGTGCCTAACAAAGAGGACGGCAGGCAGGGCGGGCCGCGCTGCCGGCGGGGATGCCCGAGGAACGATCGATACCCGGCGAGAGGCGCCGGCCGGCTCCGTCCCCGCCGCCGTCGCATCCCGCCGCCGCCGCGCGATACGGGCGGTGTGGCCGCTCCCGGAGCGGCGCTGCAGGTGCGCCCCGGCCCGCGGGTGGCTGCGCGACGCCGCGCGGCGAGGGGAGCCGGCAAAGTTGGGCGCAACTTCCTCGGGAAAAGCGGACGGAACCCCCACCGCCTCGCAATAATTAGCAGCGGCGACGCGGAGGAACGGCTGGCAGGAGGCTCGGCGAGGCGCTTCAACGCAGTTCCCCCACGCCCACCTCAGCCTCCGAGGGCAGCGGCCCCGAGCCGCGCTCAGCCGCCCGTTCCACGGCCCGCACAGGTGGGCACGGCCGCCCGCCCGGCCCTTTGTCTCCCACCCGCCGCCGCCCGGCCCGCTCCGCACCGGCACCGCGAACCAGGGCCTCCGCCCGCGCCTCTCAGGCAGCCGCCCCTACCTCGACCGCCGCCTCACACCGCCCGCAGCGCCACTCCGTTCTAACCGCCTCTTAGGGCCGGGGCGCGCACAGCCGCCGCTCGCCGCTCCGTTCCAACCGCTCGGCACGGCCCGACCCGGCCGCAGGTGCCGCCGCCTCGCGCCCAGGCAGGGCGGCACGGCACGGCCCCGCCCTCGCGCCGGGAGTGGCGGCGGCGGCCCCGCCACGCCCCCGCCGCGCAGAGCCGAGCGCGTTGGTCGCCGCGCCAGGGACGGCGGCCGTGCGCGGCCCCAGCACCTGCGGCTACGGCTGGAAGACGGCTCGCGAGTGGCCGTGCCGAACTGCTGCTTGTCGCGGCGCGCGGCTATACAAAGCAAGAGGCGCGGCCGCCGTCCCGGGCGGTGCCGCTCCCGCCCCGCCGCACCTCGGGCGCCGCGTCCTCCATCCAAACCCGCCGTGTTGGTGAGCCCCCGAGCGAGGGGCGGGCTGCGGGTAGAAATAAATACATCAAAAGCGAAGGCTCTGTTCCTCGCCTCCCCCGCCGTGCCTGCGGCATGTCCCCAGAGCTCGCACGGTGCACGGCACTGGCAGCGTTTCACGCACCGTGAGCATCCCCGCGCAGCTTAACGCGACCGACTGCGCTGCTAGAAACCGTAGGTAAGGCTCCCGGAATTCATCCTCCGTGAAAATGAAACAACAGCACAAACTCAGGACAGATGACCCAGGCGCAGCCCTGGGCCGGCCCCGAGGCCGCCCGCTCCCGGCACCCCCAGCCCCGCCCCTTCGCACCGCTTCGTGCACAGCTAGAAAAGCAGAGCCAAATGTTCAGCCCCAAACCCCAATCCCCAAACGAGAAGTCCACCCGCTAGCTCTCTCTCGAGCACCCGGCTGTCTTTTAACGACCGAGAAACGCCGCTTTCGACGCGAGAGCTGCCGCACGGCCCCGGCTGCCCTCGCCTCGCCGTCCCTTCTACCCCGGGCATCGCTCCAGCGGCCCCGGGAAGGGGAGAGGGGTGGCCTTCCCCGGCTCGGTCCCGTCCTTCCACGCGGCCCAGGACGGAGTCGCTGCCGGCTGTAGACGCGGCAGCAGCGGCCAGCACCGGATGGGCGAGAGGCGGCGGCACCCCGCGGGCTGGGAGCGGAGGCAGGCTCCGACCCGGCAAGGTTCGGCTCGGGCGGCCCGGAAGGCTCTGCCGGCGGCACGAAGCCCTGCCCCGAGGGTCGCTTTCATCGGTACAAAATAAGCTCTCTCCCCTACCGCTCACATCCCAGGAATTCTGCACGATTTCCTCGTCTCGAAATTCAAAGCGCAGAAGTGCATCTGCGGAGCAGCAGCACCACGGGAACCGTTCCCCTGCCCTTACAGCCCCCTCTCCTTCCACCTCTGCCCTTTCCCCGACTCCAGTACACAGTTTCATTTCTGTAAAGGGCGGAGGGCCCCTTTCAAAAGAAGAAAAATATTCATTCGAACATCATTAATTTTAAACAGAAAGTTACTTTCTAGTGCTGTTGTTAGAATATGGCCATATCTGTGCCAGTTTTTCTTAGAAGGTAGAATTCATGTAATACTCCACAGCATTTCCAGGTTTGATTTTCACCAACTTTTTTAAGGTCTATAGATGCCAGCTTTAAAATCATATCTGAGAAGCAGGCTAGCTTTTTTTCTAGCTTTTCCACAAGTACACAATCATGGAATATCCCGAGTTGGAAGGGACCCACAAGGATTGGAAGACAGGAAAGATATCAGGAGTAAGTCAGCATGGGTTCACTAAGGGGAAATCATGCTTGACCAACGTGGTAGCTTTCTGTGATGTCATCACTAGCAGGGTTGACTGCGGGAGAGCAGTGGATGTCGTGTATCTTGACTTTAGCAAAGCTTTTGTCACTGTCTCCCACAACATCCTTGTTATGAACTTAGCATCAGACAGATGAGTGGAGGGTCAGGTGAATCAAGAACTGGCTGACTGGCAGAGCTCAGAGGGTTGTCATCAGTGGCACAGAGTCTATTTGGAGGCCTGTAACTAGCGGTGTTCCCAGGGGTCAGTGCTGGATCTGGTTTTGTTCAGCATCTTCCATCAATGACCTGGATGAAGTGAGCCCACCCTCAACAGTTTTACTGGTGTTACAAAGCTGGGAGGAGTGGCTGACATGCCAGAAGGCTGTGCTGCCATTCAGAAAAACCTGGACAGAATAGAGAGTTGGGCAGGGAGGAACTTGACGAGGTTCAGCAGGAGCAAGTGTAGAATCTTGCACCTGGGGAGGAATATGTGCACACATCAGAACAGGTTAGGGGCTGACCTGCTGAAGAGGAGCTCTGTGGAGAAGGGTCTGAGTGTCCTGGTCAACAATAGGTTGGCCACGAATCTGTAGTGTACTACTGTGGCCAAGAAGGTCAGTGGTATCCTGGGGTACATTAAAAAAAAAGCATGGCAAGTAGGTTGTGGGAGCTGATCCTCCCCTTCTGCTTTGCCCTGGGGAGGCCATGTCTAGAGTACTTAATGTGTCCCTAGTTCAAAAAAAGGCAGGGATCTCCTTGAAAGAGTCCAGTGGAGGGCGACAAAAAAATGATTAAGGTCCTGGAGCATCTCCTGTATGAGGAAAGCTGAGAGACCTGGGAATGTTCAGCCTGGTGAGGAGAAGGCTGAGAGAGGACCTCATTACTATTTATAAATGTCTTAAGTGCAGGAGTCACAGTGATAGGGACAGATTCTATTCAGTGGTGACAAACAGTAGAACAAGAGTGAAGATGTGGAAGACTGGGGAAGTATCTGTGGTGGCCCCAGAGCTCAAACAACAACAATTCCTAGAAGATCTTCAGTTCTTCCAAAGCTGACTTCTCCAGAAGAGGTCTCATGTCTCTGCTGATGCCAAGGAGCCCATGATCACGAGGACAACTCTCCCTGGTCGCACTGTGCTGGCTGGAAAGCCCAAGTAGAGCTCCACAGCCATTTGGTTTACATCAGAAGCACAAACTCGAGAGTTTCTTAGCAAGATCTTAAGCCAAGATGATTTTCTGTTTGGTGTAAAATAGGCGTTTCTTGCTGTGCAGCATCAACCTTCTCTCTAAAGGGAAGGCACTGCTAAGAGGGTAAACTATCAGAAGGCTAAGGACTGCTGTTTGTCAGAGATGGGGCCTCCTGGCGAACAGGTCTCAGGGGCATCTGATGAGAATATGAGACACTGACGTGAGGCCTGAGTAAACCAGGGCTGATTTCCATGGGATAAGAAGCTTTTGAGGCTGTTCTGTGAGTTCTTACACGGTCTGAAAGCCATCCCAAAGCAGACAAGGTGGGCTTTTTTAGAAAGGGAGTTGAGACAGGCTTCAGTAAACCCAGTAGCATGAGGTGTGATGAGCAGTGACAGATATGCACAAGGCAGCAAGGATTTCTGTCAGCACTCAAGGACAGGTTTCCAACAGCACCAGCAGGACACAGTAAGGGACCATAGCATTTTCTTCAAAGTAAGCCAGAAAAATTGTCAAGCATTTCCTAAAAACCCACTGAGTTATGGAAAGACCACGCTGCAATGTTAGAAAATTGACCCTAATGTAGGCTCCCACCTCAGTTCACCCTCTGCACCTCTGCAAAAATCGTTTGGAGAAAGGAGTTCCATCAGGGAAATACAGCACAAGGGCTTGAAAATTGACTTAATTACTAACAGGATAACTGTTGTGTTACTCTAGGTAACACAAATGCCTTCTTATCCATGATTGGAGTGTTTCTAGAATGCGATTACCAGAGATGACAAGATGCCATGCTCCAATAAGGACAGGAAGCATGGAAAAGTGGGATGGGGGGGATTGCAGGTACTGTAACTGCACTGCCGCGAAGCTATCAAGATCAGTGACAGCTCAAATACAGCTTTTGTGTAACCTATCCACAATTCCTTGTAAGGCATCATCTGTCCATTCTGGTTTCTCTGCTTCTCAGTGTTGCTGAACTTTCCCTCGCACAAGGAGGACTATGCTTTTGTAAATTACTTTCATTTATTCTAATATCTTCTCTGAAAACCAAGCAATCCTGGTCTTTTGTTCTACTAATGGGAAAAATTATTCTGGATGTCTGCATTTGCAGTGGAAGTGCTCAACATAGTGTTCCCTACAAATAGATTGCTCTATTTAATGCAATTACAAGAATTACACTAGGAAGAAGAAGTCATTCTTTATTAAAAAAAAAAACACCTGTTTTTATTATCTAAATTAAAAAAAATAATAATCCAATGTCCCATATAGTTATATTTGAGTGTTCACCATTTCAAATAAAGTAAAATAGTTGGCAAAACTATGCTCCCAATGATTTTTACATTTATAATACATTATTTGACCATGGTGGTTTGTTACTTACCACCTTCAGATAGAACCTTACTGGTGTTCTCATTTCCATCTCAATACAGAAGGGACAATGGTGTTTCATGGGGGCAGGATCTGAGGACTGGCTTTATAATGATGCTGAGGGTTTCATCAAAGGAGCAGCAAATCTACTGACATCTTCACTATTACTCAGTTTTTTAACCAATGGATTTGCTTTCTGTTCCAGCCAGAGACCTACTAAAGATCATAAACTCACGGATAGCATCAAAGGCCTATTCAAGAAAATATGAAGTAAAATCACTGCAAGGAAAAGGAAGTGATGGGAAGGAAGCAGAGAAGCATAAAAAAGAATAAAAGGAAAAAAAAGTATGTCCTATGTAATTTAGGTGTATTACTGCCAGCAATTTGTGCAGCAGCAAAAATACTGCCTCTGAAGGCTGCTCTAAGCCCACATTTATATATAATGTTCCACAAGAAAGCTTAAGACTGCCTTAACCGAGGGCACATATCAATCCCTGCAAATGCTCCATCAGCAGAGGCCCCGCTGTGCTGCCGTGGCATTGGTACCAAGCGTTCATCAGGGGGACCCATGGCTGAGGACATCTGGAAGGAAGCTGATACAACAACTGCAAATAAACCAGGCCCAAACCCTAACTTAAACAATTGCAATAAAATAAAGAATCCTGGACTTAGGCTTTGTTGCAAAGCTGAAGCTTCCCCCGGTGCATCTGAGCAGGAACAATGCAGGGTATGGCAGAAAACGTTTCCTCTCTCTGAGTCAGCAGGAGTGACATGTGT